CCCCCCACATACCTTTCCGTGGCCATCCGCCATAGCCCAAGGCCATGAAGCCCTAGTGATGGTTCCGGACTTAAGTTCAAACCGGCTGCCATGTCCCACTAGTTGGGAATAAATATTATTATAATATAAGGCAAAGTCTCGCGCTTACCTGGTGGACTGACTTTTCATTCTGGTGCACAGCCCGACTCGCCCGTCACGTTCATCACCCGTCTGAATAATTGTATGCCTGAACATCCTGCAAAGTCTACAAGACGATCAACACGAAAAGAGCACATCTCTGCCAACCGCTCCTTTACACCATTTGTATTTTGCCCGACATGACGCAACAAAGAAACCTCTTCACCGCTGTCATGATAGTCTCTTCAAGGTAATCGAACGTCATTCCAACTATTTCGTTTTACAGAAAAACGGAAAGCACGATAGTGGCCACTGATCGTCTGGAGCATGCCCTCATCGAAGCACCCACGACCATATCCAACAATCTTGCCATCCCACCATTACCCGCACCCGCTCATGAAACCCTGTCCGTCAAACAAACTCCTTCAGCTAGTCGTTCCGCAGTTAGCTGATTACGAAAAATGAAGTAAACAACGTTTGGATTCACTGTTTCCATTGTTCAAGCTTACAATTTCACCGTGGTCACGTGCGTCTATTCCCTCTTCTGAATCCACTCGCGCTTACAGTGTTCAGTCGCGAGTCTCGAGAGCTAACTCTGGTATCAGAACATTTTAGACCAACTTCAGAACACATAAATCATACCTGCTCAGAAGAGGACCTTTGTATGTGTCGGTGGAGGGACCGTGTTGTTGCCACTTAACACTAGTAGCCTTAAGGGGTTAGGTATCGAATCTTTATCCCAGTTGATGGAACGTCTCGGCAGTCAGAGTGAGTGGCAAACCGATTGTTGGATCCCACTGGAACTGCGGAAACTTCGGTGTGGCCATCATGTTCAACAGGTCCAGGTGACGAATGCTGTCCATCATCATAGGCCATCAATGGCTTCTGGCCCACGGCTGCTGTATCCAATTGGGTGTAACTACAGTGCGAGTGGCATGCAACCGCCATGTCGGTTTTTAAGTGCGGCCGCACAACATCGTCCCACCGATCTTTCACTTCTCCTACAGTCCTCTGTTGAGGGGTTACGAGAGTGATTTTTTGGGATTAAGTGTCCATCTTCCAAAGATAGGTCGTGGAACACAAAATTAAGTTTCTAAGAATCGAGGCGCCCTCGATGCAAAGTTTTCTGGGCCAATCGGTCTTCAGTACAGGATTGTCAGATGAGCTTCTTTCGACACAGAGGGGGGATGCTGCTCAGAATATTGAAGTTTGCCCTATTTAAACAATATGCCGGGCAAAAACTTCTCCCGGAAGATAAAGGTAGAAATAAGAATAAATTACCAGTACAAAAAATCTGCGCTCAAAACAATTAGGCCCCTGAGATTCATCCTGGTACGGGGCGGGTAGTGCGGTTCAACTACCCCCTTCATGGAAGCCGCGCGCATGCCGAAATCAGCGCTTAAAATCTGCCCTCAAGGTGCTTGCTGGGAAAGTGTATGTAATCAAGAATTTCTGAGGATCGTCCTCTAGACGCGCGCAAGATTGGTCACAACAGGTCAGGAGTGGAAGCACGAAACAGGCTTCCACCGGGCACTAAACCAGACGACCCCAAACTCATGACCAAGCCGATTGTGGTCATATCCCCCCTGTGCTCCCGAAAGCAGGCCGATGAAACCAGCTGGTTCTCCGGACAGCAGTTTTTATTCGACCACCACAGGCCTCTCGCCCACCAAAGGCAGGGACGCCCTCAAAGAGGCAAATCCCACATGCAAGCAGCGCCCAAACTACGTGGAACTATCAACGCTTATCTCCGTAT